CTCCACTGCGCATGCAACCCTCCCACCCACTTGGAATGTGTAGGCACCTCCCACGTGGCGCGATGACTCGAGGACCTCCCTCATGCTGTTGCCGATGAGGATGGAAGCGGTAACGGCGAGACGCCGACAACGACGATGATGACAAACGCTGCGATGTTGGCGACGACGGTGGGGCGATGACTCTCCCCGAAGTCGATGAGTTTCAGTATTGTTGCGCGCGCATGTGGGCGCGTTCTCGAATGAACCATGGTTTTTCCCTACCTAGGCTCTGCCTGGAAGGGTTGCCCCGCGGTTCTCCCAGTGGCGTTCCCTTAGCTTAGCGTTGCTTATCTCATCTTAGGTTAGCTTAGTTCATCTTAGGTTAGCTTAGTTTCATTTTACGTCAGGTTTATCTTAGCTTAGCTTACCTTCATCTTAGCTTCGCCGAGCTTTAGCATAGCAGAGCACAGCATGGCATAGCAGAGCGTAGCGCACAGCGCAGCACCGCATATCATAGCAAAGCCCAGCATAGCATAGGATAGCGCTGCATAGCATAGCATAGCATAGCATAGCGCAGCACATCACAGCACAGCATAGCACCGCGCAGCATAGCACAGCATAGCATAGCATAGCAGAGCATAGCATAACATAGCACAATCAAATTCCCTACCTAGGCTCTGCCTAGAGGGTTAGCGTGGGTGTAATTCCCTACCTAGGCTCTGCCCAGAGGGTTAGCCTAGCTTACCTTAGCTTAGCTTAGCTTAGCTTAGCTTAACTTAGCTTAGCATAGCGCAGCATATCGCTGCATTAACATGTCATATCATATCAGAACATCGCCACTCATATCGTAGCATAGCATAGCATAGCGCAGCATAGCCTATCATTGCATATCATAGCACAACATAGCATAGCATAGCGCAGCTTAGCATATCATATCATATAACATAGCATAGCATATCTTAGCACAGCGCAGCATGACACATCATAGCACAGCGTAGCACATCATATCATAGCATATCATAGCATCGCATAGCGCAGCATTGCATAGCATAGCATAACATAGCATCGCATAGCGCAGCATCGCATGGTACAGCGTAGCATAGCATAGCAACTAATGCTGCTTTCCCAGAGGCTCCAGCTTCTAGGTAGGGTCGCACTGGGGTAATTTTAGGGATATCGTCGCGCAAGCGCTCGCACGTGCACGTGTGGTCCGCATGGCATTATTTGAGTGTAATCGTCGGTGCGCGATGGTTGCGGGACGTTTGCGACATGCGCGCGCGCGTGGCCCGTCGCGCCTCATTTACCAGAGCGGCCACCGCCAACGTTTTTGCTATGATTTCAGCGAGTGTGCTCGCGCGCGCGCAGACATCAGGCATCTGTGTGTTGGACGAGCCGCCAGTCTTTGTCAGTTGGTTTTGGGGGGGATTTCGGCATGCGCGCGTGGGGAATGGCGCGCGTGGCCCGCAGGGAGTTCTTTCGTAGGCATTGTTAGAAACATGTATCACTATCTAGATCAACGCGCGCGCGCCGCATCTTTCCCCCTCCTCTTCTTTCTTTTCCTTTGGGGAGCGACGGCGAGGGGGGTGGGCGTCGTTGGCTCGGCGGGGGTGGTATTGACCGAGTGCCCTGTATAAGCATATGCATCCCTTTTCCCCCCTCTAACATTCTTACCCCGTCTCGCTGGCATTAATGTCGGAGAGGGCGCTGGGGCCGAACTTGATAATCTCTGTGGGAAATTGCGAATCGAAGATACTAGCATCCTATAATGACTCGCAAGAGCATCGCAAACGCTGATCGTGGCAATGGTGGCCTCGCCATTTCAGCTTCCGCAATCGCGGGCGTGTGCCGGGGCTGCGGGATTCTCGCCGTTTCAGTTTTCCCAAGTCACGAACATGCGGCAGGGCCATGGGACTCTCACTTTCTCAGCCGCTCCCGAGTCAGGAAGGGGCGCGCCGCAAAGCCGCATGGGGCCGATTGGATTTTGAAGTTGCATGCGTTTTTTTCCAGCAGGCAGAGCATTGGAGTCACTTTTTAGCGCGTCCCTCGCGCGATTCGTGGCCCTTCCCCCTCCTCCCCCTCCTCCTCCTCCTCCTCCTCCTCCCCTCTTCTTCCTTCCCCCTCCTCCTCCCCCCCCCCCCCCCGCCCCCACCGCAACTGCGCGGGCCCGGGCTTCCCCCGAGTCTCCGAGATTCCATGCTTTCGAACCTGTTCGAGGCGCCGAGCTGCGCCCCCCCCGGGGGCAACGATCGGGGGGGTGGGGCGTAAGGGGATGCAATCCCTAATGCCCATTGATTGCAGAGAGGGGTTCGAATGCCCGATCCTGCCCGGAACGCGCGGATTCGCGATCGGGCGCCCGTCGCCGACGCGTCGGCGGTGTATCGCCGATTCCGGGTCGATGTTTCCCTCCCCAGTGCCTATCCCCCCGCGTCGTTGCCCCTGAGTGCGTCGCGAGCCTCGGCCATGTCCCGGCCCGCCGAGCGCGCCCGGGCGGTGGCCCAGCAGGTCGGCCACCCTGCAGGGGATCGCGACCCAGAGCGCGAGCCCGCGCTCGAACGAGACTCTCGAGCGCATGGTTAAGCATAGCGAGGAGATCCTCGACGAGGTGTCTTCCATCGCGGACAAGGTCGCCATTGCCGAGGCGCGCCAGTGCCAATCGAGCGCGCAAGGCGCTGACGTAGCAAGGATGACGGCCTGCGTTTTCAGGGGAGACAGCGCCCTATGGTCGGGCGCCCAGCAGGCCGTCCTCGAGATGGTCTACAAAGGCGGTTCTCTCAAGAGCATCGAGTGCGGGCGCATCTTCAACTAGATGGACAGGAGGCGCGTCGAGCTGGCCGTGGCGTTGTTCTACGAGACCTACCGAGAGAAAGACGCCCGCCTCTGCGACGTCTCCGAGGATCATGGAGGGCCGCCCGAGAACCTCTCCTGGTTCATTCCGAGCTTCAAGTCGAAGATGCTCGAGCGCGCCGAGAAGAAGAACGTCGAGCTCGGCGCCGAGAGCGTCCGGCGCCTCAGCTTCGGCTCCCACTCCGAGCGCGTCGGCAAGGCCCTCGCCGATGCCCCCTTCCGAGCTCCTCGGCCTCCGCGACCTCGCGCTGCCGATCAATAAGAGCTTCGAGCCCGTCGAGAAGATGGGCGAGGAGTTCGCCTCCGGCGTGCCAGCCGATGAGTTCTTCGAGATGACCCCCGACAAGGCCGAGCAATTCGTCAACTGGCGCTGCGCCAGCGGCGTGGTTCAGGGCGTTGTCCGCGCGCGCGCCACCGCGTAAGCGGTCGTCAAGTGGCGCTGGGGCCTGGGGCGCACTGCCGACGTGGCCAACGAGCTCCAGGGGCGGAGCTACATGGGCAAGCGCTCCAAGCATGACTGCGCATGCGCCGACAGGCAGCTCCGCTTCGAGACAGTGGCTCTCGACCAGCGAGTCAAGACTTCGCCGTGGACTTCGCCGAGATCCATCCACGCCGGCTGCGAAAAGATGCGCAGCCGGCGCGATCCCGAGAAGAGCCGGGCCGACGCGAAGGCCGGGCCAGAGGCTGACATGTCGACGCCGAAGGGCGCCTGATAGCCGAGCGGCGGCGAGCGGCGAGCGCCTGGCGCGCGAGCGCCCCAAGCCATGCGATCCCATGCGTCTCGCGGCGAGGGTGCCGCGCGGGCGTCTCGAGGCGCGCGCTCGAGCCCCGTCTGCTTTCGAGCTCCAAGCCAGCGTTCGAACACGCGCGAGTGGCGTTCCAAGCAGCGGTGCGCTGCTCCCCCCCTCTCGCCGAGTTATCCTCGATCAAGCATCAGACAATCAAGCGGGCTCCATCCTCGACCCTCGGATCGAGGATCCGAGATCTTGAGTCCAGGCATCTTCGAGCACCTTTGATCCTAGTTCCGAGGATCGCCGCGCTTGGACTGGAAGATCTCGGGTTCGCGATCCGAGGGTCGAGGATCGAGCTCCGGCGATCGTCGATCGTCGCCGTCGCCGTCGTCAGGCCCAGGCTGCCATCGAGGAGGCTCGACCCTCGGTCCTCGGATCGAGGATCCGAGATCTTGATTCCGAGCTGCTCTGAGCGCCTTGGATCCTAGATCGGAGGATCGCCACGCTTCGACTCGAAGATCTCGGGTTAGCGATCCGAGGATCGAGGATCGAGCCTCGGCGATCGTCAATCTTCCTCGTCGCCGTCCTCGGGCCCAGACCGCCATCGAGGAGGCTCGATCGTCGACTCTCGGATCGAGGTCCCGAGATCTTGGTTCCGATCATCATCGAGCGCCTTAGATCCTTCATCCGAGGTTCGCGATCCGATGATCGAGGATCGAGCCTCGGCGATCGTCGATCGCCCACGTCGCCGTCCTCGGGTCCAGACCGCCATCGAGGAGGCTCGATCGTCGATCCTTGGATCCACGATCCGAGACCTTGTGTCCAAGCATCCTCGAGCGCCTTGGATCCTAGATCGGAGGATCGCCGCGCTCGGACTCGAAGATCTCGGGGTCGCGATCCGAGGGTCGACGGGTGCGCGATCCGACGATCGAGGGTCGAGCTTCGGCGATCGTGGATCTCCCTCGTCGCCGTCCTCGGGCCCGGACTGCCATCAGGCAGGCTTGATCTTTCATCCTCGGATCGAGGATCCGAGATCTTGTGATGTTCTCGGAACAGGGTTGCTCCAATTGTAACGTCTGGCCGCCGTCATTGCATTGTTTCAGAAAGTGTTTGCACCGCTGACATGATCGCTTAAACTTTTCTCCACAGAGGGGGATGTTCCCTCCGTGGGCAGCCGGCGCGATCACCCAGCTGGCGCATGGCGTGTCCGCTTGGCTGAGCTGGGCGCCTGCGGCTCCGCCCTGTCCGCTGTGTCCGGACTGCAGGTGCGTCTGCTCAGCGCGCCCCCGTGCCCCGCCTGCGCGGGGGCGCCCGCGACGCGCGCGGGGTCGGAGGCGCCCGCCCCCCGCGCCGAGCCTCCAGTCCCGTCGGTGGCGGCCGCTTGGCTCACGACGGTGGCCGCCCTCCTCGTCGGGGTCGGCCTCGGCGAGTTCAGCTGGGCTGCCGATGGCTGCTGCGGGCGCCGCCGCCGGGGCGCAACTGGAAGGAGTAAACCAGGTGGCCTACATCCTGTATGCGGTGCCTGGTCCGGCCCTGTGGCACCGGCGCTGGCTGATGGGGAGGGTGGTGTTGTGTCCGAGTGGCGCCGTCCTCGTGTCGCCCGACCGCCTCGAGCAGTGGGAGGTGGTCGATGGCTCGTCGGCGGACGTCAGCGCTGTCAGGTGGGCCGCTGGCATGGGGCCTCGCCCGCCGGGTGTGACCAGGACCTGCCGGTTCGGTGCGGCGCCGAGCGCCGCAGACGTGGCCGCATGGCTGCCCGATGCCGAGGCAGAGGCGCGACGCTGCTTCCAGAGGCGCCACCCAGGAGTGCCAGTGCCAGCGCCCGTGTTCGAGCCGTTCCCCTGGGCGGCGCCCGCGGCCTTGGCCGCCCCCCTGCCCGCGGCGGGCGGGCCTGCGCTCGCGGAGGCTGCTGGCGCTGGTGGCGCGGCTGGGCCGTCGGTGGCAGCGGGCGCGCCGCGCCCCTCGCCGCTGCGGCCGCCCCCCATCCAGCGCCCCTGGCGGGCGGCGTGCTCGGGCGCGGCTCCGGGGCCGCAGCGGCTGCGGCGGGCGCGGCAGCCCTGGGCGGCGCAGGCGGCGGCCTTCTTGCAGGGGCCGCATTGGCAGCGGCCGTTGGCGGCCCTCCCCGGCCCCTCCTGCTCGCTGGGGGCGCGGGCGGCGCGCCCGCGGGGCCTGCGGGCAATTGGAGAGCGGCCCATGAATGGCGGGGCTACCACTACGGCGACGCGGTCGTGCCACCGGCGGGCTTCGCAGGGACAGGGCCGCCCCACTCGCGGGGCGGCCCTCCTCGCCGGCGGGTCGTCGCCCTTCATCGATTGGGTGGCCGAGGCCGAGGAGGGCGACTTCAGCGACAGGGCGGTGGCGCCCGACTGTCGCCTGCTGCCGATGCGCCTCGACCGCGCAGGGGAGCCGTTCCGCGCGCTGGCCGACGTCGTCGAGAGCTGCCGCGAGGAGTCCCTGCCAGAGTTCATCGGGCCCAGGACGACCACGTGGCCCCTCGGGCACCTCGCGAACGAGGGTCGGTCTCTGGAGGGCCACTTCGAGCACTTCAAGAAGCTCTGCGACCGACAGGACACGCAGTGGGGCATGGAAGAGTACGCCAGCGTGATCAGCCACCTGAAGGCCTTGCTCCGGCACGTCCAGGTGGACGCCGCCAACGTCCTGTCTGTCGAGCTGATGTTCAGGCGGCTGCAGACCATCGAGTACTGCGACAGCGACAAGCTCCGCGAGCGCTCCGCCGGCGCGGCGGGCGGCCGCCTTGCGGCCGACGAGCAGGCGGCCTTCGGGGCGACCGCCTGGGCCGAGACCAGGCTCATGGTGTCGCCGCAGCTCCTGGAGAGCGCGAAGCAGGAGCTGGAGCGGGATGCCGCGCTCGCTAAGAGGCTGCTAAAGGCCCGCGAGGCCCGCGAGGCTCCGGGCAAGAAGAAGCAGGGGCTCATGATCGACTGCCCCCCCCTGGCGCCCCTCAGGCCTGGAGGGGGGGATCCATATGTGAATGGGGATGCTCGGCGGCGCGCAGCCGCGCCGCCGGGGAATTTTGACAGGAGCGTGAACAGGGATCTTGCCTTTCCCCGCCGCGCTGGTCGCCTCGCCAGAGCCCCCTGCGCCCGGGCTCTCGCGAGGCTGTCGGCAGAGGGCCGGCCGTCGACGGCGCCGCCGCCTCGACGTTCTTCGGTGCGTGGAGGGTCTCGACCTGCTCTACGGCGACGGCGCGGGGGCGCTTCCACTTTCGGATCTGAGCCTGGGGCAGCAGCGCTTGCTTGCGCGCGTTGAACTCCGTCCTTTCCTTGGGGCCGCCCCCAGGTGATCTTTCGCAGGCGGCGGCCCTTCGGGCGCTGCGCCTCGGCCCCCCCTGCGATGCTGGAGGAGGCCCTGTCGGCCACGAAGCCCCCCGCGTTTCCCTCCCTGCAGCAGGGCCTGCCCCGACTTCGCTCGCCGAGCTCCGGGGGTCCGGCGGGGGAAGTACAGTTGCTCACTGTGTCGAGTCGCAGGTTTTGCCAATCGATGTGGCTCGTGAAAATTTGAAGGACTCGGGGCCTGCCCGGCCTGGCCTTGCGGCGATCCTCGCCTCCACTCTACCTCCCTCTATGGCGATTTTGTACATGGGCTGCTCGAGGCAGGCGTGGTCGATGTGTCACTCGGGCGCTGCACTGAGGTGGTCGATTGCTTTTTCGTTAAAAAAGGGAGTGGCGGGCAGCGGCTGGTCGTAGATTGTCGCCGGTCTAATCGGCATTTCAAGCCCCCTGCCCCTATCAGTCTGGTCTCGGGTGACGCGCTCTCCCAGATGTGTAGTGATGAAGCCTGGGGCCATCCCATTTATATAGGCCAGGTTGGCATAAAAGACGCGTTTCGCCATTTGGAGCTCCCCGAGGAGCTCCGCAGGTTTTTCGGTCTGCGAAAAGTCTGGGCCCCTTGGGTCGGCGTCGCCCACGCGCGTGTGGTTCGAGTGTCGCCCGACGCCTGGATCACCCCGAGGATGCGGGTGCTCCCTATGGGCTGGTCTTGGGCCCTCTGGTGGTGTCGGGCGATCCATGGGCGTGCGGCCGAGGAGGGAGGGCCCCCTGCTGCGGCCAGGCTCGCTGACGGAGTTCCCCCTCCTTCTCTCGCCTCCTCGCCCCATGCGCAGTGTGTGGATAATTTCGTAGTGTTCTCGTCTAGTGAGCAGGTAGTCCGAGAGCATCTGGCTGGCGTGTCCGCCGGGCTCGAGTCTCGTGGCCTGCCCTTGCGCAAGGGGGATGTGTCTTGTGGGCGGGCGGTGGTGCTGGGGTGGGAGATCGACTGTCTGCGGCATGCGTTCCGCCCGACCCCCGAGCGCGTCTGGGTGGATCGGGTCGCCATCAGGGGTCTCTTGGGGCGGGGCTCGTGCTCGTGAAGGGGACTTGGAGCGCCTCCTGGGCCATCTGTGTTTCATTGACACTCAGCGTTCTTAATGCTGTTGCAGGTTTTGCGAGGCGGCCCGGAGGTGTCCTGTCCGAGAGGCGAGGGCCCTTCTGGGCCTCTGTGCGCAGGGAGCTGGACGTCTGGGACATGATCTCGCCGTTGGTCTGGGTCAACACTTCCGCCGCCACCTGCCCGGGCGTGGTCGTGGTTGATGCGTCGCCCTGGGGTCTTGGGGCCGTTCGGGGACGCCCTCCAATAGCTCGTCAAGCAAGCCGGCCGACGCTCCGAGAGGGCGGGGGCCCGAGAGGCCGCCGGGTGCCGCGAGGCGCCGCAGGGCGGGCGTTCGCCGCGGCCGCCGCGCAGCTGTTCGTGGACGAAAGGGGCCCCGACAAGCAGATCCTGGTGGGGCTCGCAAGGCCTCGGCACTCCGACTCGACTGCAGCTTTGATCTTCGGCTTCCTGGGAAGTTCGAGGACGCCCCTCTGGAGCTCCTCGATTCCCCCTGGAAGGTCTGCGGGAGGGTGAAATGGAAGCGGCCCTTCGCGGCCATGCCCGTCCTCGAGGCCGAAGCCCTCCTTTGCGGCGTTCGGCATCAGTTGCGTTCCGTCGTTATTGTGATAGGTGGCTCCATAAAGGCTTCTCTGGCGGCTACGAAGCGGCGCTCGTCGGCTGATGGCGTGCTCACCGTGGCCGGGCGTCTTGGGGCCCTGATGCTGGCGACGGGCAGCCTCCTGCGCGCCCGGTGGATCGCATCGGGGCTGAAGCCGGCCGACGGGCCGTCGCGGGGCCGCGGCTCCCCCGGCGACCCCTTGGCCGGCCTCCGCCGCGAGCTCGCGGACGCCGCAGCCGAGGGCAGGGATGCTGGCGCTCGGCAGGTCCGACAGGTCGAGGACTCCCGCAGGGCGCGTGCCGCTGCCGCAAGCTCCAGGCTCCCGCCCGGCCTTGGCCCCCCTGGCTGCTGGGGCGGCGCGGGCGGAGGTCGGGGCGCTGCGCCGGGAGCGCGCGGCCCAGCTGGCCGCTGCGCGCCCGCCCGTGGCCGACGTGGGGCTGCTCTGAAGGGCGTCGGTCTCGGCCAAGACGCAGGCCCAGTATGCCCTCTACCTGGCCGCCTTGCGACACCCAGGGCGGCCCCCGATCATGCGCGGGGGGGGAATGGGGCGTGCTGACGTCGGGCCTGATGGAGATCATGTTCGTGGAGGGCGGGTCCCTGAGCTCGGGCGAAAAGCTCTTGGCGTCCGTTCAGTGGGCCGAGCCGCGGCTGGGGCGGCTGGGCGGGGGGCGGATGCCCATCAGCCGCCTGTGCCTCCGGGGCTGGGGTCGCGCAGCGTCAGTGGGCGGCCAGCTGCCTCTGCCCTGCTGTGGTGGCCTTGCTGGCGTGTTGGATGATCTGCCGCGGGCGGGGGGCCCAGGCTTTGGCCACCCTCATGATGATGGAGCTGTACCTGCGCCCGGGCGAGCCATTCCTGCTTCGAGGGCGCGACGTGGTGGCAGGATGCTTCGCGGGGTCGCGAGTCGGCCCCCGCGTCGGTCCTGCTGCGCCCCTTCAAGATGCGCACCCCGTCGAAGAACCAGGTGTTCGACCAGGCCATCGTGCTCGACCTCGCCTGGCAGGAGGCGCTCGCGGAGGCCCTGGTGCAGCTCGGCCTGGAGCGGGGCGACCTCTCCCTGCTCGACCTCTCGCCCAGCGCCCTGCGGCAGGCCCTCGACGAGGCGGCGGCGGCGCGGCGGCTGGGGCCCCTCGGGCCGCTCGACGCCCGCCGCTCCCGGCACGCGGGCGCGAGCGTCGACTTCGCGACCGGGGCGCGGCGACGGGGGGGGATCCAGCGTCGCGGGCGGTGGCGGTCGTCGCGGAGCCTCCGGCGCTACGAGCACGGCGGGCGCCTGACCGAGCTCTCGCGCAGGTTGCCGCCCGACGTGCAGCGAGCGGCCGCGTCCGCCGCGCTGGAACTCCCCGACGTCCCGCGGGGAGGAAGGCGCTTGCCCTCGCTGGGCCGTTGAGGGCGCCAACGGTGGCCGTGTTCCTCGAGCTCTTCGCAGGTTCGGGGCGCCTGGCGGAGGCCGCGGCCCAGCGAGGCGTGCCCGCGCTCCGATGGGACATCCTCGACGGCCCTTCCTGCGACCTGCGGGGCCCGAAGAACGTTTGCCTCGTCCGAGGCTGGATTCGCGCGGGCCTGGTCTGCGGGCTGCGCGCGGGGTTTCCCTGCGAGACCTTCTCCCGGGCGCGGGATCAGCCCAATGGTCCGCCGCGCCTCCGCTCCAATGAGCACCTCTGGGGCCTGCCAGGCCTGCCGGCGGATGGGGGCCCAGAAGGTGAAGTGGGGCAACAGGTTCGCGAGGCTCACTATCTCGCTGTGCGGGATTTGCTGCCAGTGCTTGGCGCCCTGTGCTTGGTGCCCTGGTCCATCGAGAACCCCGCGCTCATCTGCGCCTGGCTGCTACCGCCCATGCTGAACCTGCTGGGGCGGCGGCAAGTCACGTCGCAGGTGTTCGAGTACTGCCGCTTCGGGGCCCCGCGGAGGAAAAGCACCCGGATCGTCGCCTACCTAATCGACTTGACGCCCCTTGCCGCGTGCAGATGCACGGGCCACGTCTTCGTCGTGACCGGGTGCGAGCGCGAGTGTCTCTCGGGACAATGCCCGTGGACAGTTTAAACGAAGTTGGCCGAAACTTATCCTCGAAAGATGTGCAGTCTCCTTGCTCTTGCCTACGAGAATGGGAAAGCCCGTTCCCACGCCATTCAGTTCGAGTCACTCATCAATAGGGCGTCTAATTTGAAGCCGGTCTTGCGCAAAGAAAGATAAGGTTGATGATTTCGAATTGGCGTAGCCAGATAAGCTTTGCTGTTTGCCGCATTCTGCGCGTGTCCTGAGATTTCAATCGGGTCCGTGGCCGCTGTGCGGGCCAGACCTCCAGCGGCAGACACCTGCGGCCGCGTCGTCTCAAATCCTGCCTCCTGGCCTGCAGTGGAAAGAAGGAGCATGTGATGTTCTCGGAACAGGGTTGCTCCAATTGTAACGTCTGGCCGCCGTCATTGCATTGTTTCAGAAAGTGTTTGCACCGCTGACATGATCGCTCCAGCTCCCCCCCCTCGCTTTCACCTTTTCATTCGCTCTTGTCCTGAGATTTCCATCGAGTCCATGGCCGTTGTGAGGGCCAGACCTCCAGCGGCAGCCGCCTGCGGTCGCATCGTCTCGAATCCTGCCTCCTGGCCCGCGGTGGAAAGGGGGCATGGTCTTGAGCATCTGCGAGCACCTCGTATCCTAGATCCGAGGATCGCCAAGCTTGGACTCGAGGATCCTGGGTCCTCGATCCGAGGATCGAGGGTCGAGCCTCGACGCCTAGCGGTCACGCGCGCGCACAGGCGCGCGCGCAAACGCACTAACACACACGCACACGCACACGTGCGGGCGCGCTCCAACAGACACACACACACCCTCACGCACACTCACACACATACACCCCAACAACACACACGCACACGCACACACACAAACGCACACTCAAACACACGCACGCACACACACATTCTCGCACACTCACGCACACACGCTCACACGCACAACAGCAACAACACAAACAACAACATTCACAACAACAAGAGCAACCAGCAAAACAACAGCACCACCAACAACGACGCAAGCAACAGCAAGCGCAACAACAGCACTAGCAACCAGCGCAACAGCAGGCCACAACAACAACAAAACAAACAACAACAGCACGCGCAACAGCTGCCACAGCAGCGCAGGCCAGGCCCGCCGCGTCGCCGATGCATCGCCGAGGTGGTGCAAGCTATGTGGCGCAATGGGCGCGAGCTCTGTGGTGCGAGCACTGTTCGGGTCAAGCTCGCTGAGGACGCAGCGCCCTTCGTGGCCCGCGTAGGATCAAGCATTCTCAGCCCATTACTCTGTTCCGGCAACGAGGATGGCCGAGTCGGACAGCGACGAGAGCGTCGTCTCGCCGATGTCCCTCGTCGAGGAAACGCAGGGCGACGAGCGGGCGCCGGGCGGCGCGCGGCGCGGGCCGAGAACTTCGAGGGGGCGAAGGCCGAGGGCGGCGTCGAGCAGCGCGAGGGCGCGACTGACCGCGCGGGGGGGGGGGCGCCAGCAAGCCCGAGGACAGGAGCCTCGACGACAAGAAGCTCGAGGAAACGAAGGTCAAGCTGGACTCCTGCATGCTCGAGGACTCTTAGCTCCGGAACATCGACAAGCTCGAGGACAACGCGCACTTAGAGAAAAAGCTTTCGGACAGGCAGCTGGAGGACTCCAGCAAGCCCGAGGGCAACATCTTCGACGGCAAGAGGCCCGAGGAAAGGGGGCTCAAGGTGGACTCCTGCAAGGTCGAGCCCATTGCAAGCCGGCGGCGACGAGGCGGCGCGACGCCTTGCACTCGGTGCTGGGCTCTGCCTCGCCTCCTGCCCCGGCTCCTAGTCCTGACTCAGTCTTGAGGCGCCGCGCGAGCTGCTGGGAGCTCTGAGCGAGGTGCCTTCGGGCAGGGTGAGGGCGAGGTGCTGGGGGCTCTGAGCGAGGTGGCCGCCGGCTTCGAGGGCGCCAGAGAAAAAAAAGAGACAGGGGCCAGTGCAACAGAACCGACGACAGCAAGAGCAAATTCACACGCGAGCAGCGCGACGCGCGCGAGCAACAGCAGCAGCAACAACGCAAACAACAGCACAAGCAACCAGCAAAACAACATCACCACCAACAGCAGCACAGACAAGAGCAAGCGCAACAGCAGCACCAGCAACCAGCGCAACAGCAAGCCGCAACAACAACACAAGCAACAACAACGAGCGAACAACAAGCAGCGAACAACTACGAGCTAACAACAGAACGCTGACAGAAAGAAGGCAACGACAAGCAGCGAACAACGACGAGCCAACAACAGCCAGAAGCCTTCAACTTTCTCTGTAGCCACGTTGGCGCGAGGATATGTGCTTTGAGCCACTGCAGTTTTGCAGCGAGACGCCGATGACCGCGCCGACAAGGCAGGCGAGCTTGTCGAGCCTTTGGAGTCTGGCGAGCTCGCCTGCCGAGGTCCTGTGGTCTCGCGAGAAGCTGAGGCCCCCCCGCGCGAGAGCGCCGAGTCTGCTGCGAGGTTCTTCAAGGAACTCAGGCCAAGAGGCCCGAGACTGAGAAAGCGGACAAGGATCTCTCCTTGTCTGCTTCCTCATTTTCCTCCCCCTCCCCCCCCATCCCCCCTGCCCTCCTCGCGCCCCTCCTCCTCCTCCTCCTCCTCCTCCTCCTCCTCCTCCTCCTCCTCCTCCCTCCCTCCCTCCCTCCCTCCCTCCCCCCCTCCCCCCTCCCTCCCTCCCTCCTCCCTCCCTCCCCCCCTCCCTCCTCCTCCCTCCCTCCTCCCTCCTCCTCCTGCTCCTCCTCCTCCTCTCTTCCTCCTCCTCCTGCTGCCCCCCCCCCCCCCCGCCCCCCCGCGAGGCCCCGCCGTGGGCGCCGCCCCTGCGTGCGAGATCGAAAGCGAGTGCAAGGAATCATTTTTTGTTATATATATATATATACATCTATATATATAATTATATATATACAAAACAAACTGAAGGCCCCCAATCCAACGGCCGTCCTTGCCCCCTCGGCCCGTCGGCCCATCTCTGGCAACTCTCGCTGGCCACCCCCGCTCGAAAAGTATGGGCGTGGGCCGTCCAAGGCCCTGGCATCCTTGCCGCGCGACCATGTTGCGCGGGTCGATTGCAGTACTATTAGTGCACCCCCCCCCGCACCCCCACCCTTCGGGAGCGGGTCGCGGCCGCGGCCGCGCGCCGAGAGCTTGCGGGCGCCGAGGGCCAGGCTCTCGCCCCGGGCGATCTCGGCCGAGGCGTGGAGCGAGGCCTCGGCCAGAGCGGCAGACCCCAGGGCAAGCTGGCGCAGGGGGGCGCGCAAGCCCCGAGCTGCGCCGGCGCTGCGACGAGGCCCAACAGCGCAGTCCAGGCTCCAGATCTTCCTCGACTGGAGAATGTGCGCGGACGAGCGCGGCGCCAAGACGTTCGCCCTCGCGCCCAGCGCCGTGAAGGCCAAGCTGCGCGACAAGTGGCGCTGGGGCCAGGGGGCGGTCGCGAGGTGGCGCGGGATTCGAGCGGCTCTCGAGAAGAAGGTTGCCGCGGGGGGGCTCGGCAAGAATGGCCTCCGAGCCCGCGGGCATGCCCGCCCGAGCCGCGGCGGTCGCGCGAGCCGGGGCGCCGGGGTGTCCCGCGACGTCCCCGGCGTGGTCGCCGCCGAGCGCCCGCGCGAGGGCGTCGTGCGCCGCCTGGAGTGCTGGTTCAAGCGGGGGCGCGAGCGCGGCCGCGAGGTCAGACAGAAAACCGCCCTGGCGCGGCTGCGCTACGAGCTGGCCTTCGAGCAGGACAAGTAGCTCCGCCCGCGGAAGGTCGGTCACAAGAGCTACACCGCCGAGATCCACAAGGGTGACCAAGCGCCTGAAGACCTTCCAGATCAACCAGACGTGCAAAGAGGACATGGCGTGGGTGGACGAGTTCGCCATCCCGAGGCCGCGCGCGGGCAGGCGCAAGGGTCGGCGCCTCTCCGGCCAGAGTCTTCAGACGCTCGGCAAGGACAAGGCCAAGTTGACCTGGGCCACGGCCGACAGGTTGTACTTATAGTGATAGGGGCAGTTCGTGCTGCTACTAGTATTTTGTATTAGTTTTAGTAGTGCTACGACTAGTAGTGCTACCAACTACTACTACTACTACTAGTAGTAGCTGCTACTACGACAACGCCAACTACTATTATTATTACTACTACTATTATTATTACTACTACTACTAGTACTACTACTACTAACTACTACAAGTACTAGTACCAGTACTGCTACGAGTACAAACAGTCACTCCTGGTATTGTACTATTACTACTACTACTACTACTCATACTACCAGCTACTACTAGTAGCAACTCCTACTACTACTACTACTACTACTACTACTACTAGTAACTTCTACCACTACTACTACTACGATCCAGACTAGCTATTACTATTATTTCGACTACTACTACTACCACATCCACTACCACGACAACAACAACAACAACTACTACTACTACTACTATCGCTACCACTACAACTACTAGTCACTTTTCCTCCTCCTACTACTACTACTACTGCTACTACTATTACTACTTCTACTATTACTACTACGACTGCTATTACTATTACTATTTCTACTACTACTGCTACTACTACTACTACTACTACTAATACTACTACTACTACTACGACACTACTACTACGAATGGCTTACTTTCAGTAGGTTCGTGCACCTGGTGGCGAGGGCGTCTCCGAGGACCTCGGCCTCCTCGCCGGGGGCCCCGAGACTTTCGCCTGGCAGGGGGCCCGCGCGAGCGCGGTCGTCGTCGACGCCAGCGCGCGCTGGCTCGAGCTCCGGGCGAGGAGAAAGCGCGCGTCCGTGAGAACGAGATCTACGCCGCAGGCGCCGAGAACACATCCAGAGCCTCCGCCGCAAGTTCCGTGAGACGCAGGCCGAGGAGGGCAAGGCAGCCTTCGAGGCCGAGAAGGTCTTGCACTTGGCAGGGCACCCCGACCAGAAGGGGCAAGTGGACCAAACCAAACCTACTCGAGCGCAGGGGGCAAGTACAGGATCATCCTCATCAACATCTCCGCAGTCGAGGGCTGGTTCGACGCGAGCAGGGGGCCCACGTCCGCCGAAAAGCGCAGCGTGCCCCTCGCCCCCTGCGCGAGGGACTGCCGAGTGAGCGACGTGGACCTCGATGGGGGGCGCTCGGCGGGGCGCGCCACCTGCGAGCGGAGCGACGGCGAGGCGGGGCGCGTCGGAGCAGGCGGGCCCCTAGGAGCATTGCTCCAAGGGCAGGCGCAACGCTCTGCATGAGTTTTCCGAGGAGGAACGCGCGAGGGTCTTCGAGGTCATCGACGCGCGGGGGCAGCCTGGGGCCTTGGCGGGCGAGCTCGTCGCTTCCTGGGCCATCGGCTTCATCGTGCAGCAGCGCCGCCAGAGCCTCGTGTTCGCAGACTCGAGCCAGTGGGCCGAGGCAGTGGCGCTCCGAGCGTGGCCCCAGACTGTGATCCACGCGCCCGTGGCCCCCGACGTCGCGAGCTTCTTGCAGGGGCCAGACGCCCTCGATCGCGGCCAGCTCAAGGCCGCGATCCGAGAGGTCCAAGCTGAGATGCATTGGGCTATGGGGCAGGAATGGATCCAGAAGGCCAAGGCCGGGCCCCAGGAGCAGTGCAAGTCCCCGACCCAACGGGGCTTGCGAGTGCTTCTACGGCGTCTCCGAGGCCTACGCCCGCTTCCGCGAGAAGAACAAGGGCGCGGTGCCGCTCCGAGGGCTGCGGGCGAACCAAATGCTCGCGGCCCAGCCGACGGAGCAGGGCGAGCTCAAGGTCGTCGCGGGCATGGGGCCGTGGAGCTACTCCAGCGAAGCCGGCCGCGGCTTCGAGCAGAGCCCGGCGAGCGGGGAGGGCGCGCAGAGGTGGCCCGAGGGCGCGCCGCCCGTGCCCGAGTGGAGCGCCCTCGACGGGAACTGCTTCCACTTCGACGACTTGCCCAAGGACTGCGAGCAGGGCGAGAACCCGTGCCTCCTGGAGCTCCGAGAACTGGACCTGCAGGAGGACGTGCTCATAACGCCAGAAGAGCGGATCAAGGAGATCCAGTTCCCGCGCGCCTTCGAGAACCGGGTCGAACTCAAGCGATCAGGTAGGCGCAGGAGCAGGTGGGCGCCCAGGTTCCTCGGGCCGGTTCCCAGGCAGGCTGCGGCGCAGGCGGCGGCGCGCGAAGGCCGGGACTGGCGGCGAGGCCTCGCTCGAGCACCTGGGCCGAGGCGTCGCCGGGGGGGGCTCGCGGGCAGGGCGCCGAAGGCCAAGGCGAATTTCTCCCGGAAGTTCACGGCCAAGACGCAAGCGGAGAAGGGTGCCGGGAAGCAAGCGAAGGCCAAGAGAACAAAAAGCAGGCCTCGACGCTTGCGAGGACCCCCCTGGCACGGCGAGGTTGTCCGCGTCACCGAGGAGTGGGTCCGCGAGGGCAGGCGCGGCAGAGTGCAGGGCGTCTGGCGAGTCCTGGGCACCGCGGGCGCGCGCCGCCCGCGCGCCCGCGAGGTGGGGGCCGCGGCGATCTTCCAGATCGAGAGCGTCGAGGCTCGGAGGCTCGCGGGCACTCGTTAGCTTCCGCCTGCTTCCGACCGAGGCGGCGGAAGCAGGCGGAAGTTAGCGGCGACGGCGGAAGCGGCGGCGGGAGCGGCGGAAGCTGGCGGAAAGCTGGCGGCGGAAGCGACGGCGGAACCGTGTAGCCACGCGGCGAAAGCAGGCGGAATCTAACGATTGCCTGTGAATCCCGGGCGCCACAGGCCACAATCGAGCAGGGCCGCGAATTCCCCGGGCCGCGCGAGTTCGACTGGCGCCAGACCAGACTGGCTCGCCGCGCCGAGCTCGCCAAGGAGTGCGCGATCATGAACTGCGAGCAGATCGTCATGAGCGACGCCCTCGAGCTGGGCACAGTGCGCGCGCTGCTGGGCGAGATCGAGGAGCGCGCGGGCGTCCCCGAGACTGTTCTGGTGGTCGAGCCTACGGCGGCCGTCGCTTGGGCTCGAGAGGGCCAGGGCGAGGGCGAACCCGCCGCCCAGCGGCCCGAGGGGCAGAAGCGCTGGGCCGAGAGAGTCGACGAGGCCGAGCGCGTCCTGATCTGCGTGCAGTCCGAGGCGCCCGCGCACTGCACCTACCTCGAGGTCGGTGGTTGCGGCAGATGTCCCCGCGCCAAGGTGCCTCCAGTTCCCCGCTCCGTTGCGGGGCGAGTCCCGGGGGCGCCCTGGGCAGGTGGCACTTGTAGCGACGCCCGTCAAGGAGTGCCGCGACGCCCTCAGGCAGCCGCCCGAGAACGCCAAACAGGCCTACAGGGCCACGTGCGAACTTACAACTGCACCCCGCGATTTCTTCGCTTTGCTCGGGAGCTGCCGAGCGACGTGAACCCCGCCCCCCCTTTAAACATCGCGGGTGAGGTTCGCGTGTGGCCCCCCGAGGCCGCCGCGAGGATCCTCCGCGAGCTCGGCGCCGTTGGCCCTGCCGAGACCTGCCCTGCGAGGAGCAACCTGATGTCCCAGGCCGACGCCCTGTCCTGCGGCCAGTGGGCGAGTCGCTAGATCGAGCGCGCCCTGCGCGAGATCCGAGGCGAGAGCCGTTAGGCGCCCGTGAGCATCAGCGCGATGTGCGCCCGAGGCAACGAGTGGGGCAACGAGCTCGAGGAGGCTGGCGACGACGATTTGGCCAAGGCCAAGGCCACGAGCAAGGCCAAGTCCAAGCCCTTCAAGGACCCCGCGGCGGTCGATTCGAATCTGCCACCTTCGAGGAGGCAGGCGCTGCCGCCCAGGCCCGCGCCAAGTGCCTCCCGTGCAAGGGCGGCCCCGAAGGATGCCGAGCCTGCGTGGGCGAGTGGTTTGAGGTTGTGCGCAAGAGAGGTTTCTTGGCCGGGAGCACCAAGGACCTCTCTTGCGCGGACAAGTTGAAGCCGCGAGCCTCAAGATCTCTCGAGTCAGTCTTGTGCCAAGATCTAAAGGGTCAGGTTGCGCGAGCGCCCAGGGTCACATCATCATCACGATCGCCATCATCCTCATCGCCAGCATCACAACAGCACCTTCGCCAGCAAAATTGTTGGTTATCCCCGCCAGACCCCCGAACTTTATTATCCCCAGGGGATTATTATCTGGGGCGCAGGGTTATTTGATCTGTAAGTGAACAATTGTGAACAACACGCAAACAGCACAACGCGCGGACGCGCGCCGCTGACAGTGCCTTCGGGGTGGGGATCGAGTTAAGTTCTCTGTCGGCCAGGACAGGTGCGTGGAGCAATCTACGAGGTGTAAGCTATGTTGTGTAAGCTAGGTTGTGTAAGTTCGGGTGTAAGAAAAACCACGGGGCGACCGCGAGACGCCAACGACCAGGCACCAACCGTGCACCAGACGAAATCAAGCCTCTTGGGACGTTCGAGATCGGCGACCGCTAACAGTTCACAGGTCTACGCTTCGTCAGAAACCAGAAGCGACACTGTCGCGGCGTGAGCTTGATGTGTTCACCGACAGAAGGCCTCCACAAACCCACCCTTGGCGCAGGCTTTCGTGGCCAGCCTCTTGGACATCCACCGAGGTCCGCGCGCAAAGTTGGCCCGTGGAGGCCTTGTTTGGCAGGCTCAAGACCATTGATGAAGATTAATGTCGGCGTTTTCCAGGGCATGTGTAAACCCAATCAGCGTTTACCGCGGGAAGATCCGTCGATATCACGAGGACTTTGCCCGCCATCATACACCGCTTGCGTCGTATTGAAGGGCCTCGGTGGACAGGCGCCCGTTTGCGCTAACACACGTTCCGAGGATCATCGATGTTTGCCCCTGAGCATTCCCGATTTATCAGTGCCCGATCGTGTTCTCATCCTGGCTTCGTATGGTTGTTCCCGTTCTTGTCGACCACCGGCCAGTGGCAGAGGGCCCGCCCGACGGCCCCGCCTCCCAAAACATGTGTCGTCACGACTTTCTTGTCAGGCGGGCCCCTGGACCTCTCGTCTCTCGTCTCGCTTTTCATCATGGATGTTTTTTTGCGATTGCACCGAAACCCGACACGGACCTGCCGAGGCTCCAGTTGGTTAAACCTCCACCGTCGCGATGTTGTCATGACGCCGCCGACCTCGGGCGAACCGTCGGCGCCGCCCTCAGCGATCCCCTGCGCGGCGCATGCGGGCTTTTTGGAATCCCCGACCCCTTCCTCAGGTCCGGTTTTTCGCCCCAAACCGTTTTTTCGACGGCCCCGAGGCTTGGTGATGGCCCCAGGATCCCGAACACGGCCAAAAACGGTCCGCCGTGCTTTCTCCTCGCGACGCGAGCGTGTCTGGGCCCGCGCAGCGGCAGGTCTCCTCGCGGCCTTCGCCTCCCGCGCGCGCGGCCGCCCCTGGGCAGCCTTCGGACGGGGTTAGGACGAGGACTGAACCCGTTCCGGAGCGTCTCAGAGAGAAGGCCGCGGCGCCCGAGAAATCCTCCAGAGCCGCGGGAGTTCAGAGATTCTCGATTCCTCGTCCGACTTTGTCTTCGTTTTGGTCTCGCATTTTAGTCCGCGACGAAACGATGGCGGCGGGCGCCCTCGTCGATTTTGTCGATCTCGTCCCGGACATCGGGCTGCTCCAATTTTTTCGATGCGTGGGCCCCGAAGGTCTGGACCAATTCCCCAGGGCCAGTTTTGCATCCTGAGTCGTTTTTTTGACGGCCCCGAGGCCCGGCGAGGGCCCCCGGAGGCCTAAAACGGCCCCCAAACCGCCGCTCCATTCTCTGGGTCCATGGGGTCCTCGTCCTGGCTTCGTCTCGAGCCCCTCGATGGTCGCCCCTGGGCCCCCGGCGCCGCCGCGCGGCCTGCGGCCGCTGGCCGCCCGGGCCGCTCGGCGGCCGCCCCCCGCGCGCCACGCGGCGGCCCGGGCGGCCGAGGGGACCCCCGGAGGCCGCCTCGGCCTCGCGGGCCTGGGCCCGCTGGGGGCGCTGAGCGCGGCCGCGGCGGGGCGGAGCGCCGAGCGAAGCCGCGCCTGTGCGGCGCGGTGCTCGGCGGGGGCGGCCGCGGGCTCGGCGAGGGCGGCACGGCGTGGCCGCGGCGCGCTCCGTGCGAGGGCGGGGGGCCCTCGGAGCGGCGCGGCGCAGTGGACCTCTCGGACCTGCGCGTGAGGAGTGGCCCTTCGCCAGTGTGGCCGTTGGTGGGGTATCGCGTCGTCGTCGCCGTCGCCGTCGCCGTCGTCGCGTCGCCGTCGCCGTCGCCGTCGCCGTCGCCGTCGCCGTCGCCGTCGCCGTCGCCGTCGCCGTCGCCGTCGCCGTCGCCGTCGCCGTCACCGTCGCCGTCGTCGTCGTCGTCGTCGTCGTCGTCGTCGTCGTCGTCGTCGTCGTCGTCGCACGGGCCCGGGCCCGGGCGCCTGGATCGCTTGGACATGACCTCCCATGGCGGCCCCCTGCAGGCCACGCACCAACGGTCACTCTTGCCCAGGGTCAATCCTGCGTGCAACCGAACCTCAGGGGGGAGGAGCACAATGACGCCGACGAGCGTCGACGTCTCTTTGTGGGTTTGCAGGGCGGCGGGCGTTTCTGGAGGTTCTCGTCGCCGCGGCTGGGCGCAGCTCGAGTTGCTGGCCTGAACCTTGGGATGGGTCAAAGACAGATTTTGATAGTGTACTGAAGAGAACAGCATGCAAGCATGCGATGGGTTTGCGCCGCGTTGACGCGGCGGCGACCCCAGTGCGGGCGGTCAATCTTGAGCGCTGCCGCTGGGCCAGAACTGGCCCACGTAGAACGATCCGCGTTGTTGGGAAGCCGCGATCGCGCGGGGTTGCACTATCGACGCGGTGTCAGAAGCCACCGCCGTCATCGCGACGTGAACCCGCCGTACTGGTACCGATACTTTCCGTCGCTTTTCGCTTTTTTGCGTGTCCCGAGGGGCCTTCGTCGCCACGGCTGTACATTCGCCGCGGAAGTTTGGCCAGAGCGCACCCCAGGAGCGGTTCTGGGCAGCAGCGATACCGGCGTATCTCTGGCACTCCAGGACCGAGGACAACCACGGGCGCCAAGAGATCGGCAGGGAGATCGAGGGGTGGCCGTGCTCCTCAGCCAGGGCCCGCAGGAGCTCGTGGGCGGGAAGCGCAACCCTTCTTCCTTCCTTCCTAGCGCCACTGTGGACAGGTCTCCATGGGCGAGCAGGTGGCTCAGAGGCCACGATAGCAGTGGCCTCCGCCCTGGCCACAGCCCCCTCTTCTAAGCGAAAAACGAGGAGGGCGGCCGCACAGGCCCCTCACGCGCTCCGACCACAGAACACCTGCGTACACACACTGACACCCCGGACCCACGGTCTTGCGGCCCAGGCGTCTCTGACCGCGGCCCCCGTGGTGGCGGGGCGGCCTTGCGCGGCTGACCCCCAGCGCGCCGCGCATCTACGGGATCCTGTACCCACAGGGCGGCGGGCGCCTCGGTGTCCAGACCGCGAGGGCGTGGCTGTGGCTATCCTCGGCGCTCGCGATCTGGGGTTCCCAGCGGGGGTCCAGGAAAAATTGCGTCGGAGGAGCGCGCCGCATCGCCGATGCATTGGCGATGCGGCTCGATGTGGAGCCCGATTTTCTCCACGCCGACGTCGCCGATGCGGCGCGATACTCCGACCCCATCTACTCGGACACCATCCTGGAGGCCTCTACGTGAGTGAGAACACCACAACCCACCCCCACCCTTAGTCAGGACCCCCGCTCCCGACCTGGTGATCCGGGAGGTCCCGGCTGGGCGTGGAAGCGGTTTTCGTTACAGAAGCCACCCTCAGGTCGGGAGGGGGGGTCGTGGCTGGGGGTGGGGGTGGCCCCGGTGAGGAGTGGGCATCCCATCGTGGACAACGTGGAGCTGCGTAGAGTGGCCCGCGAAGTGGGCCTCGGGGAGCGAGTGGGCGCGGCGCCGCTGGCGCCAGCCTGCGGGCCGGACGCGCAGGCCTTGAGCCGGGCTTTTCCTCGCCCTCGTCGCTGGCCTCGTTTTTTCCTGGTCCTCGTCCTGCTCCTGCTCTCCCCCGCTCCCCCATCGTGGCGTCTCCCTCCCCCCTCCCTTGTCACCAGCACCTCATCGAGTGGCATTTTCTTCAAGCGAGGCGCACATGAGCCCCTGGCCAAGGGTGGATGGTTGGGGCCTGGATGGTTTTCGGCCGCCAGGCAGGGCGGGATATAGGTACTGCCGCCACTTTTTCCCAACCATCCTGTGGTGTTGGGTCCTCGTTTTGAAGAGACGGTCCCCGCGTCCTCCTCTCCTCTCCTCCTCTCCTCTCCTCCTCTCCTCCTCCTCCTCCTCCTCCTCCTCCTCTCCCTCCCTCCCTCCTCCTCCTCCTCCTCCCACCATCATCATCCCATCACCCATTCGGCACACCCCTCACACGTTTCGTGGCCCCATAGGGAGCTCCACCGAAGGTCCCAGAGGGTGTGCCCGCATGCGTCCCGCACACCCATTTCGGCACACCCCTCACACGTTTCGTGGCCCCATAGGGGCTCCACCGAAGGTCCCAGTGGGTGTGCCCGCATGCGTCCCGCACACCATTTCGGCACACCCCTCACACGTTTCGTGGCCCCATAGGGAGCTAGGTACATGCGTCCCGTCACACCGAAGAGCACAAGTCCACACCGGCACAGCATGCGTCCCGCACACCCATTCGGCCCACCCCTCGCACGTTTCGTGGCCCCATACGAGCTCCACCGAAGGTCTCAGTGGGTGTGCCCGCATGCGTCCCGCACACCCATTTCTGTACACCCCTCACACGTTTCGTGGCCCCATAGGGAGCTCCACCGAAGGTCCCAGTGGGTGTGCCCGCATGCGTCCCGCACACCCATTTCGGCACACCCCTCACACGTTTCGTGGCCCCATAGGGGCTCCACCGAAGGTCCCAGTGGGTGTGCCCGCATGCGTCCCGCACACATTTCGGCACACCCCTCACACGTTTCGTGGCCCCATAGGGAGCTCCACCGAAGGTCCCCGTGGGTGTGCCCGCATGCGTCCCGCACCAATTTCGGCACATCCCTCACACGTTTCGTGGCCCCATAGGAGCTCCACCGAAGGTCCCAGTGGGTGTGCCCGCATGCGTCCCGCACCCATTTTGGCACACCCCTCACACGTTTCGTGGCCCCTTAGGGAGCTCCACCGAAGGTCTCAGTGGGTGTGCCCGCATGCGTCCCGCACACCCATTTCGGCCACCCCTCGCACGTTTCGTGGCCCCATAGGGAGCTCCACCGAAGGTCCCAGTGGGTGTGCCCGCATGCGTCCCGCACACCCATTTCGGCACATCCCTCACACGTTCCGCGGCCCCATAGGGAGCCCAACCGAAGGTCCCAGTGGGTGTGCCCGCATGCGTCCCGCACACCAATTTCGGCACACCCTCACACGTTTCGTGGCCCCATAGGGAGCTCCACCGAAGGTCCCCGTGGCGCAGTCCGCTTGCGTCTCCCCCACCCAGTACACCTCCGCCGGAGGCCGTCGGAGTTCCGCGCCTCGCTCGCCCGTCGTCGCTCTGCCCAGCGGCAAGAGCCTTGCCCGCTATCAGCCAGCCAGCTAGCTCTTTTTGCTGCGCGCAGCGGACGACCTGCGCGCGTCGCTGGGACCCCTCCGGGGCGACCTGCGCGCGTCGCTGGGACTCCGCGCTGCGCTGCGCCCGCAGCTTTGGACTTTTGAGTGCGCGGGCAAAGAGGGAGTAAAAGAAGGGGAGGAAGCGGGCGCGATCCTCGCGGTGGCGTCGCGGCGCGCGGGCGATGCCGTCGGGGAGCCCCGGGGAAGCTCCTTGCGGCGGCCACGCCCAGCGTCACGAGTACTCAGAGGCAGTCATTCACAAACTATTAGCAGTCATATACAATTGCACCATGCATTGGCGTACTCGCATTCATGCACGTAGACTCGCTCGCACGCAGATTCATTCACAGTCAGACGCACTCGCGCTCATATTCACCCGCGCTCAGTCTCCCTACGTACTCAGATCAATCGTTTTCGTTCGCGTCGTGTACCGCGCCACTCATATCGGCACACCCCTAGCACGGTTCGTTGCCTCATAGGGATCACCACCGAAAAAGGGAATCACAATTGCGGTGCTCACACCTGCATATGGTTGGGTCCTTCGTCAGGCTAATTTTTCGAGTTTTAGTTTCCACACTTGCGGTTCCTCCAACGATGGAGGGACCCCAGATGGCGCTGCGGAGCTTGACGCTTCTTCCTGCCGAGTCGATTCGATCCCTTGTCACCTGTGCTCAGGGACGGCTGCAGCACCGCTCAACGATGTGCCGGGCCTTTCTCTAATCCGTGCTTCGGTGCGGATCGTCTGCGCGCCTCGTCTCCGTCGTCGTTGTCGGCGTCTTCGTGGTCGTGGTACGTGTTGCTATGCTCAGGACTTGTTTCCCTTATTGCAGTGACCACCGCCGCCTCTCTCTCTTGTCGTGCTCGTCCTCATCCTGTTGCTGCTGCTGCTCGTGCTCCCGCTCCCCGTTCCCATCACCCTTCTTCCCCCTCGTGCTACTCCTTCCGCCTCCCCTTCTGTCTCCTTCGCTCTGGCCTAATCACTACTGACCGCTGCTGCTGCACCGCGTGGTGGGGTGACGAAGCACGATCAGGCCGTGACGGTAGTGCTCAAGATCCGCGCCAACTTGGCCAATACCGAGGAGCGCGGCTGAAGCTGATGACCTCCTTCGTGATTCTCCCAGGAAGAGTGTGACTAAACCTCTCGGACACCGAAGCCGGACCACAAACGCTCCCTTTTGGGTTCTCCCCTCCCTGACCTCTCCACGCTGACTTCGACCTCGATCCTTGAGGGCTCCAGCCCACCCGCGCCGGCCTTCCAGGCCCCGATTTGGGCGGTCACTGGCGCGCGCCGCTCCACTCCCGGGGCATCGCGCTGGAACAACGGGGGGCCGTTCGGGCTCACTCCCACAGGGTTGGCCCAGAACAGGTCGCCGACTTCGTCGGCTGCTATCTCAGCCCGAGTTGGCGAGCAGGAGGGGCAGGCAACTGTCTGCAATGCTTCTGCGTTGCTTCTGGGGACAGTTGGTTGGACGGCCGCTGGAAGGACAACCGTGTCGTCGACAGCGCTTTGCGCCCCCGGTGTTTACCAGACCTCACACTCTCCAGCATCAATTTTGATCGCGCTGTTATTATGTTAGGCGTCGTGCTCTCGTCGATAGCGATGAGCATGCGCCATCGGCGCTCGCGCGAGGAGACGTGGGCTGTTAATATTTCACTCTCGACTAGTATTGGTTGTAGTTTTTTCATGCCATTTTTGTTGTGCTGTTTTTTTATTCTCCCATCTCTCTCTTTCTTCCACATCCCCGTCCCCACCGTGGACGGCCGAGGGCGAGGCGACGGCGGCCGAACAGGTGAGCTCCCACGTGCACGAGCGTGGGGCGGAGGCGCAGGCCTGGGCGCAGACGCTGCACGGCGCGCCCCGTGCCGAGGCGCTCGAGGCCCTTCGTGCCCCGCTTGCTCGAGCTGAACCGTACCGACGAGATTCGGCCATGCGCAGGGGGTGGGGGTACTTAGGGGGAGGGGGGGGCTTCTTAAAAACACCCTGCTTCACAGAGGGCGCGGGCCTTCTGTTTTGATGTATGGCCGGCGCCTTCTAAGACGCAGCCTCCTTTTGAGAAACCTTTCCCTCACCCCCCGCCCCCCTGTGCGCGCCGCCAAGACATGGTCGTGGAGTTGGATGGGCGGTTCGTCTCTGCGGCGCCCTCGACGTCTCGGCCGTTCCGGCTCTGGCAGGCCAGGCTCGCGAGGTCTCCGGCCAGGGAGAGGCGAGAGGCGTCTGCTGCAGCGACGGCGAGCCCCCACCGGAGATGGCTCGACAAGCGTATCGGCGAGAGAAGGTTTTGGATTTGAACAGAGACAGCACTGGGGAGCAGCCCAAGGACGGCCGATTCCGAGTTGTGTGGGCACTGCTCATTTCAAAAACCTGGTCGCCCAGGCACGCAGCTTCGGCGCGAGTAGCTCGTAGGAGTTGTGGACGCAGGAATCTCACTCTCTCTCTCTCTCTCTCTTTTTCTCTTCCCTATTTCGCTTTTCTCCGACGAGGCAGCCTGGACTCGCGCGAGCGCCCTGAGTACGCAGGAAAGATGGTTGGCACCAGATGGCTTTAACAAGGGACAGGTCTTGAGGGACGGAACCACTGGAGTTGGTGTAGCTGCGATCCCTTGTTTGACGGTGACGCTGTATCAGGCGGTCTGGGCGGTCAAAGCCCGGGGCTGATACGGTTTGAAGTGGCCACCGGAGTAGGTCGCGCGTTCGAGCGGGTCTCGCTAGGTACTGTTGTACTGGGCACATTCCCATCGCGAAAGCAAGCGGTGCCGAGAGTCGAGCCTTGAATTGCGAATCGGGTTCTCGAGGGTATTTTCCCAGAGAGCGGCTGGTTTGTGATGGGGGTGGTGACGTCAGTTTTTCCCAACCATCCTGTGGTGTTGGGTCCTCGTTTTGAAGAGACGGTGCCCCGCGTCCACCTCTCCTCTCCTCCTCTCCTCTCCTCTCTTCCTCCTCTCCTCCTCTCCTCCTCTCCTCCTCCTCCTCCTCCTCCTCCTCCTCCTCCTCCTCCTCCTCCTCCTCCTCCTCCTCCTCCCGCCATCATCATCATCATCGTCATCACCTATTTCCGCACACCCCTCACACGTTTCGTGGCCCCATAGGGAGCTCCACCAAAGGTCCCAGTGGGTGTGCCCGCATTCGTCCCTCACACCCATTTCGGCACACCCCTCACACGTTTCGTGGCCCCATAGGGGGCTCCACCGAAGGTCTCAGTGGGTGTGTTCGCATGCGTCCCGCACACACATTTCGGCACACCCCTCGCACGTTTCGTGGCCCCATAGGGATGTCCACCGAAGGTCCCAGTGGGTGTGCCCGCATGCGTCCCGCACGCCCATTTTGGCCACACCCTTCACAGGCTTCGTGGCCCCATAGGGAGCTCCACGGAAGGTCCCAGTGGGTGTGCCCGCATGCGTCCCGCACACCCATTCCGGCGCACCCCTCACACGTTTCGTGGCCCCATAGGGAGCTCCACCGAAGGTCTCAGTGGGTGTGCCCGCATGCGTCCCGCACACCCATTTCGGCCCACCCTTCACACGTTTCGTGACCCCATAGGGAGTTCCACCGAAGGTCCCAGTGGGTGTGCCCGCGTGCGTCCCGCACACCCATTTCGGTACAACTTTCACACGTTTCGTGGCCCCATAGGGAGCTCCACCGAAGGTCCCAGTGGGTGTGCCCGCATGCGTCCCGCACACCCATTTCGGCACACCCCTCACACGTTTCGGGGCCCCATAAGGGGGCTCCACCGAAGGTCCCAGTGGGTGTAGGTCCCAGTGGGTGTGCCCGCATGCGTCCCGCACACCCATTTCGGCACACCCCTCACACGTTTCGTGGACCCATAGGGAGCTCCACCGAAGGCCCCAGTGGGTGTGCCCGCATGCGTCCCGCACACCCATTTCGGCACACCCCTCACACGTTTCGTGGCCCCATAGGGAGCTCCACCGAAGGTCCCAGTGGGCGTGCCCGCATGCGTCCCGCACACCCATGTCGGCACACCCCTCACACGTTTCGTGGCCCCATAGGGAGCTCCACCGAAGGTCCCAGTGGGTGTGCCCGCATGCGTCCCGCACACCCATTTCGGCCCACCCCTCACACGTTTCGTGGCCCCATAGGGAGCTCCACCGAAGGTCCCAGTGGGTGTGCCCGCATGCGTCCCGCACACCCATTTCGGTACACCCTTCACACGCTTCGTGGCCCCATAGGGAGTTCCACCGAAAGTCCCAGTGGGTGTGCCCGCAGGCGTCCCGCACACCCATTTCGGCACATCCCTCACACGTTTCGGGGCCCCATAGGGAGCTCCACCGAAGGCCCCAATGGGTGTGCCCGCATGCGTCCCGCACACCCACTTCGGCACACCCCTCACACGTTTCGTGGCCCCTATAGGGAGTTACACCGAAGGTCCCCGTGGTGCAGTCCGCATGCGTTTCCCCCCCCGCCCAGTACACCTCCGTCGGAGGCCGTCGGAGTTCCGCGCCTCGCTCGCCCGTCGTCGCTCTGCCCGGCGGCAGGAGCCTTGCCCGCTATCAGCCAGCCAGCTAGCTTTCTTTGCTGCGCGCAGCGGACAACCCGCGCGCGTCGCTGGGACCCCTCCGGGCCGACCTGCGCGCGTCGCTGGGACTCCGCGCTGCGCTGCGCCCGCAGCCTTGGACTTTTGAGTGCGCGGGCAAAGAGGGAGTAAAAGAAGGGGAGGAAGCGGGCGCGATCCTCGCGGTGGCGTCGCGGCGCGCGGGCGATGCCGTCGGGAAGTCCCGGGGAAGCTCCTTGCGGCGGCCACGCTCAGCGTCACGAGTATTCAGAGGCAGTCATTGTCAAACTATTGTCATTCATATACAACTGCCCCATGCTTTGTCATACTCGCATTCATGCATGTAGATTCGCTCGCACGCAGATTCATTCACAGTCAGACGCACTCGCGCTCAGATTCACCCGCGCTCAGTCTCCCTACGTACTCAGATCAATCGTTTTCGCTCGCGTCGTGTACCACGCCACTCATTTCGGAACGCCCCTAGCACGGTTCGTTGCCTCATAGGGATCGCCACCGAAAAAAGGGAATCACACTTGAGGTGCTCGCACCTGCATATGGTTGGGTCCTTCGTCAGGCTAATTGTTTGAAGTGCGTGGGGGCCCATTTCGGTTTTGGAGCCCGATCGGAATCCCAATGGCAACAGGGTCAATGGCACACATCTAGGTTACGGAAGTACCGTCCTGCGTCGAGTTGGCCGACAACGAAACGAAGCTTTCCCAGGTGGTGCAGAGCTGGTGGCGCGTGTTCGTATGAGCCTGCTAATATCGCCGCCCGTGATTGCATGCCTTCTGAAGATGGGTGATTTCGCGTGAGGGCGCCGAATCGCGTGCAACCTTTGTTTCTGGAGCGCAAAACAATCGGCGGCTTCGCTTGCGTCGACGGTTCCTCATCGGGGGAGGGTGCGGGTGGAGAAAATTATCCTGGCGAAGGACCCAACCATATGCAGTTGTGAGTATCGCAATTGTGAGTATCTTCTTCGGTGGCGCTCCCTATGGGGCCACGAACCGCATGAGGGGTGTGCCGAAATGTGGCGGGGTACACAACGCAAAGGAATACGATATCTGATTACGAGAGAAAGAACGCTGGTGAGTCAGAGCGCGAGGGAATCTGAGTATGAATGGGTCTGCGCGCGAGTGAATATATTTGCATGAGTGCGATCATGGAACCGCCTAGTGTAAGCGTCGAGCATGCCTGTCCGAACACGCGTGACACTGGGCGTGGCCGCCGCAGGCAGCTTCCGCGGGAACCCCGACGGCAGCGTCCGCACGTCGCGACGCCCATGTCGGCACGCCTCTTGCGAGGATCGCGCCCGCTTTCGGCTCTTTTTTTCCTTCCTCTTTGCCCGCGCACTCCAAAATCCAAGGCTGCGGGCGCAGCGCAGCGCGGAGTCCCCGCGACGCGCGCTGGTCGCCCCGGGCGGGGTCCCAGCGACGCGCGCGGGTCGTCCGCTGCGCGAAGCAGAGAGAGCTGACTAGCTAACTGGCTGGCTGATAGCGGGCAAGTCTCTGACCGCTGGGCAGAGCGACGACGGGCGAACGAGGCGCCGGGCCCCCCGCAGCACGGAGTTCCCGCGACGCGCGCTGGTCGCCCCGAGAGGGTCCCAGCGACGCGCGCGGGTCGTCCGCGGCGCGAGGCCAAACAATTAGTCGGGCAGTCGAGAGAAGGCGCGGCTCGGGGGAGACGCTCCTCAGGTCAGGCCTCGCGGATGAACTCGGTGAAGCCGAGCTCCCTGGCGAGGGCCGTCGCTTCCCTCCTGCACCGCTTCGTGCGCGCCGCAAACTGCTCCAGCTGCTTCCGCAAGCCCTGCGGCGGCCCTGCCAGGAAGAACTCGATGCGCGGCGCCCGCATGAGCAGGAGGTCCTCGTGGCGCGTGGCGCGCGAGAGCAGCACGTAGAGCTCCAGCCACAGTCGTCGTCCTCCTTCTTGCCGTTCCCTACCTCGTGGCGGCCGCAATCCAGGATCACGCCTGGGCGACGTCGACCGAGGGAGCAGCGCGCCGGGCAGCCGACGGCCCAGGGCGAGAGTCCACAGGACCGAGAGATGGTCTGGCCGCGGACTGCTCGCGCCCCGGAGGTCTGGCCGCCCCCGGAGCGCCGTTCCCCCGCCCCGTCGCCTTCGCGCATGGTGCGCCCCTGGCACGCCACCGTGGTGATGACCCTGCCGTGCGAGAAATGCGGGGGGTGTGCCGAAATGGGTGGGGGTGACGCATGCGGGCGGCGGCGCTGAGGCCTTCGGTGGAGCTCCCTATGGAGCCACGAAACGTGTGAGGGGTGTGCCGAAATGGGTGGTGGGGAGGCATGCGAACGCAGCCACTGGGGCCTTCGGTGGAGCTCCCTATGGGGCCACGAAACGTGTGAGGGGTGTGCCGAGATGGGTGGTGGGGAGGCATGCGAACCCTGCCACTGGGGCCTTCGGTGGAGCTCCCTATGGAGCCACGAAGCGTGTGAGTGGGGGTTGGCCGAAATGGGTGGGGGGGACGCATGCTGCCGCGGGCACTGGGGCTATCGGTGGAGCTCCCTAATGGGAGCCGATGGAGCCACGAAACGTGTGAGGGGTGTGCCGAAATGGGTGGTGGGGAGGCATGCGAACGCAGCCACTGGGGCCTTCGGTGGAGCTCCCTATGGGGCCACGAAACGTGTGAGGGGTGTGCCGAGATGGGTGGTGGGGAGGCATGCGAACCCTGCCACTGGGGCCTTCGGTGGAGCTCCCTATGGGGCCACGAAACGTGTGAGGGGTGTGCCGAAATGGGTGGGGGGGAGGCATGCGGACCCTGCCACTGGGGCCTTCGGTGGAGCTCCCTATGGGGCCACG